TAGACTCGCGACCTCACGGCTAGTCAAGTGCTCCCTCGGGCGTTCTTTCAATGCCCCCATCGCTTCGCGTCCGATCAGGTGTGCGACCGTCGTCACGGAGAGAAGTGTTCGTGTTCATGTATGATTCAGGTAATCTTCTCAATTTATGACACCGTTCTATAGTACATTGTTACGTGGCTGAATTTCAAACATGATCACATTTGAGAACATGCGGTGACCGGAAGTTCAATTTCTGATGTGGGAACGACTCACGGAAGCCCTCTCTGGCGGCTTGCTTCTGCTTACCGTCTGCCTCGGAAATGAAGCCAAATCCAACCATGCAGTGTTCTGCATGTTTGGAATGCAGGCTCACATCAGAGCACTCCATCAGTTTTCCCAAGCCAGAAATTTCCAGATGCCCATGGCTATCACCCGAAAGAAGCGACTCACCACACATTCTGTGCCAACCAAACTCATTTGGCAAGTGCGATCGACCCAGACCATGTCCAGTCCAATATCCCACATCGTAAAATTACGAGCACCGGCTGCTGATGAGGATCAATGTGAGATAGAGACACCTTCGCGAGTGTCCAGACAGCCAGGTGACAGAAAGAATCCACCGAATCAGTCTCATAACAAGGCTCCGCTGGGGCTGGGACATTGCCAGATGAATTCCAGAGCAGCTTCCAAGTGGTCCAGACGTGTGTGGAAGCAACAAGAAGTTCGGATTCTGCCAAACGTCCTATGTACGCCGTGGAAGCGTACTGGTAAAGAGGAGGCCCGAGGCCAGCACGCAGAGCCTGAGGAAGTGCAGCTCTTACAGAACTTCGCCTTGACACGGGTAAGGGCCGAGACAGCCTCAGAGAAACAAATTGTACAGAGAAGCCAACAGGGGACTTCTATCTCAGGCTGTCGCCACTGCCGTCAAGCGAGTTGGTGTACCGTGTGAGCAGAAAGACTTGATGTAAGCATGACCGAGAGCCAAGCCAGCATCGCAAACACGCCTCACCAACAGAAAGGCAGAGAACAGACCAGTGCACCCAGAGCACACCTGCACAGCTGCATAACGGACGATCCGAGACATGAGAGAGTTTACGTACGCTGATAACACGAGGCCAACGGCGATCAAGATAAGACATCAAAATCAATGTGGCCGCCGTGCGCCCACATTCCGATCG